TTTTTCTTGATTCATGGAATGAAAGTCCAAATAAAGCTCTTTAGATATGATCTATCAAATTAAAGTAATTCATATGAGCAGAATCTAAGGCATGATACATAACCAGAAATAAAATAGATGTTTGCGGAATCAGATAAATACAAAAACAGAGACGGCTCTCCTCATCGTGTATGGATTTTTCATGTCCTTACTGTGTCAAAGCACTTTTTTTTGTCTTTTTTCTATAGTGATAACAATGAAGGCAACTTGCTTGTCTTTAGTCTTGCTTTTGTATTCTGCTTCCCTGCTAAAGATGACATTTCAACAGCCCTGTGGATATTACTGTGGTTAGCAGTGGGTGCTATCATTTGAATTTTTAATGGTGGTTGCATGGAAACTGCTGAGTGACGGCCTGAAACACTGATTGATCACCTGAGGCAAAGGCAGAGTCAGCCATGGGAGCACAGGTGAAGGCAATTCAGCTGAGTGACCAGAAGGGATGGAGCCTGGCTGCACCTCTCCTAGACCTCATTTAAGGGCTGACTGCCACTGGGGCAGGGTCTCTTTCTGGAGATTCCTCTTCTGTGAAGTCTTTCCCGTGAACTTAGATCTTTGGATATAGGTGCGTATTTCTTCCCTGTTTGTTTCTTTTCCCATTTTCACCACAATCATCTTTTTAGCTGTAACACCAACTGTAATGGTGATGATATCAAAAGGAATCACTGTCATGTCTTTTTCTGCCTTGATTCTAGAGTATGGGATTCTCTGTGCCTGTACAGACTCCTTTCTCTCTCTCTCTCTCTACCTACAAGACATGACCCCATCAGTGCAGCAGGGCTTTAGAGTTCAAAGATAAAATAGGTTGCTTGGAGCCTTGTGTAGCCATGTTCTGCCAAAGTATGGAGACATGACAGCCTCTCTGAGTAAGCTGTTGTAGTGGCTCATGACTCTCGGATCCTCCTTTGCTTTCTTCTTCAGCTGTAAGTCTTGTGCAGGTACCTCAAAGCTGTACATAGTATTCCAAGTGCTCTCCTCTTGTGAGGGAGATATTTGATTTCCTTGACCTGTACATATTCGTAAAAATATTTGTTATGTTTATATACTTATATTGAAAAATTGCATAGATTGAGCTGACTTTTCAGCTTCGCTCTGCATGTATACATGAATGTGTCATACATGTATATATTAGGTTTTATATTTCATATATTTATTTATGCATGTGGCTATGCTTACATACATTCATGTATCAAAACTGATATTGAAAAGGGGTTTGCCATCCTGGCTGCAGTTTGAGTAGGCACAGGTTAGTCAACAGAGACTTCAGCAGGTGCCTGTTGAGTATTTGTCTGTGTTTACCCATTCCAGTACATACATGCAAACTTGCACACAAGAGGTAGTGAAAATAATACTTTTCAAAGTTTCTCATGCATGAGAACTGACCTGAGAGAGTTACATGTCTATCGTATACCTGGATTAGGTTTTGCTTTTGTTTGTTTGAGTATTTTCTAATTACAGAGGATGCTGACTTTTTACTTTTAGTTTTCAATAACTGAGATGCAGTGAGCCACTATCAGTGTCTGCAAATAAGTATTTCTCCTTGATTTCTAATTGTTTTGTAGTATCTGATTAATACAACAAAGAAATATTTACAAGAGCAGTGCGTGGGTGTCTGTGAGGAGAGCTTATAATGTGCTTACTTAGTGGCTGAGAGGAGACCAAGTCCCATAAAAAGTGCCAAATTCAGTCATGTGCAAATGACGGATAAGCATTTACGTTTATTCCGGGTTCAGGCTTCAGTTCCTGGAAATGAATCTCTGTACTGTTGTTCTTACATAGGTTTGCTTTTTTGCTGTCTGGATTCAATTTTTTCTACTTGCCCATATACTACAGGGGCCTCCTTCCCTTTGGTAGCTCCAGTAGCTCAAGTCCAAAACAGTAGAGAAAATGAACACTGATTTTGAGAACCTTGTTTTACTGTCTGCAGTAGTGCTCCTTAAGCTGGACTTCAAGGTAACACCAGTGCAAGGGAATTTTGGCTCCTGCAGCAAAAAATGAGATTATTTAGGGTTGCTAAAATGTTGAATTTCATCTTTGCACCTAAATCTAAATTCAGACATTACTGTTCTTGTTTACTCTTGATCGTCTGGTCCTTACCCTGCAGTACTGTCTTAGCCAGTGCAACGGGAGTGACTCCAGGGCTGTCTTTTAAGCCAAGTCTGCGAGTCATCCAGCTGCTGACCATCTGGAACAGCTCCTGGGTTGGCTCTGAGGTGATCCAGCTGGGGCTCAAGCACTGCTGGGCAGTGCTGCATACAGGTCTGAGCGCCGTGTGCCTGGCCCAGCTGCTGCCCTGTAGCCCAGCTCTCCTTGTGTTGGCATGGCGTATCAGGATACAAGATAGCCTGCTCTCAGTTCTTAAAGGGGCCAGACGTGATCCTCCAGAAGAGACGATGACATCTGTGTGCAACCAGACTGCAAGCCAAGCTTTTGTTGCTTGCAGAAGTATAGCTGTAGAGACAGCATGCAAGCCTCAGATCTTCATAAATAACACCAAGGGAAATTTTAATGTCGTGTAATGGTATTGTCAGGATACAGACGTTACTTTTTGAAGCACTTAGGTAGCACTATTCTGAGGGACGCCAAAGACAGAAATAACTTCCTTGTTTTCTGAAAATCGGAGTGTGATTTATCTGACAAACAAGTAATTTTTATGTGAGCCTAGCTGCTCCATGCCTGTCATCCTTGGTTCTCTGTAGTCAGATAAAAATGCAAGAAGGTTCTTTTTAGGCCATGGTTCATCTGGCCTTCCCAGATGTGTTTTTGGATGAAAACTGTGCAGCAGGTCATGCCATGAAGGTTTACATTGCGACTGGCTTAGGGCATTAATGAGTATCCTCACTCAGACCCTTGCTGTCTAATTCAGTGCAGACAGTGCACAGTAATAGCAGTCCATATGTAGTCACATAGGCTAGTTGTGCTTATAGCTTCATTTTGATAAAGACAGGGAAGTGATATTTCATTGATATTTTATAACAATCTGAAATACTGTTTGTTTCTTATATATAGACTAAACTGTATTCTAAAGCACAACCTTGGGAAGTGGGCAGATGATTTCATAGCTCCAGTGAGAGTCCTGAACAAATGTGATTAAAGAGTTTCTGTGAAAAGACATTTATCTCTTCAGGGGGACAAGCTACCTATTTAGTAATTTGACTGTGTAATGTTTTGCTAATTCTTTTATAATAAAAATCCCATACTACATGATGAGGGGCTCGTAGTGCACCTTATGCCCCTATGGGAGACTACAGTTCTTGCAGATTTACTGGTAAATTCTGTCATGATTTCTATAAATTCCACAAACAGTTTTCCAGTTTTAAAATGTAATCTTTTCTCAAATTTGAGTATATTTTGCCAGTAGGCAGTCAAGGTCTTTTTAAGATTGCAACTGGTGTTGAGGGTCCTCTCTGGGAAAAGTAATGAAAAGTGGTCTTGCCAAAAGCCAGGTGAAAGCAGGCAGCTCCCACAACACGGTGTCAAAGTTGCTGACTGCCACACTCTTCAGTTTAGATCTAAAGTAAGTGAAATGAATTTTAAAAGTCAGTAGTTGTGGGGTTATTGAAAGTTATTCTTTTTGAATTTTGAAGATCTAAATATTGCTGAAATTTGTCTATTTCCTATGAGTGCTTTGAGCATGGATTTCCTTATTAGCTTCTGCAGTTTCATGGTACTGAAACGATTATTTCTATGAAGGGAGGCACTTTCTCAGTCTTTTCAAACCTGTACAGATCCCTTCTCATTTGGCTTTCTTGTCGCTATTAGAAAAATACAGCAGTGAGATCTCCTTTTTCACCAAAAAAGGGTTTTTCTTAATGTTTCTATCTGTAGCATTTGTGAGGTTATCGCAGGCTGAGGTAATCGGTGACCCAACATCCATGAAAAGGATTCAGGTATCTCCTCTGTGCTGGCTGGCCGAATAGCAGGAAGCATTGGCTTTTGAAAAGGGGCAGTTATATCAGCTGCATTTTCCCTCTGTTTGTAAAATATATATATATAAATCTATACAATGTAATAACATTACTTTTTTTTCCCCTGTGTTCCAAGGTAGACAGTATACAATTTTATTTTCACTTAGAGAGAATAAAGAGAATTGATTCTTGTGCAATCCTTCTTGATAGGAACCAGAAACAAGCAGAAGGGAATGCAGGGGAAAGGAGTAATGTCCTGCTTATGTATAGATTGAGAAGTTCATTAGGAATGACTGGTAAGGGAAGAGAATAGCTCATGAACATATGGGAAATCAGTTCACTTTGGAGAACTAAGGGTGAAAGGAAGGGATGTCTGCTTTTTATTAAAACCTGAAACGCATTATAATTGGCTTGAGTCTACGCCCAGATGGCTTCTCTTATGCTGACATCTGCAAGAGTGTATATAAAGCAACATTAAGAAGCTGTCTCTTGTGACAGTATGTACACATGTAATTCTGTTAAGAACTAAGTCCTTTGCTGTCTGCCGTGTTGGGTCTTGAATATACATGCTGAGAAATTTCATTTGCTTGACAAAAACTAATTACAGAACATGGACTTTTTTTTTTCCAGAATTTGTACCACCTATGAGAAGTTCTTAGGGACTTTTGTGTATTTCTGTTCATCAATCATAAATTCCGAGGCAGCTTTCCATTCCGTCTCTGTCTTTCTCTCTTTCTTTTCCTTCCTTCTTTGAGAGGAAGGAGGAGGGGAGGAGAGGATACAGAATATGAACTTTCATCTTATGTTGGTTTTCTGAACTTTAAGTGTAATTATTCCGAATTTTCACATGTGAATTTCGCATATAAAAGAGTCATTTTCCTTTGACCAATGAGAAGCTTAAATGTTAGTAGAACACCCCTATATTAAACTGGTAGGATGATGACGGTAAATATGATGCAATTAATATATCTCTTGGTCTGTTCACTTGTATCTGTAATTCACAGATATAATACTTCTTAAAATAAGCTGTCAACTTAATTCTCCTTTCTTTGTCAGACAACAGGAAAATTAAGGTCAATGGCACCAGGGAACCAATTGAGTTTAAGACAAATCAGTGGTTTGGGGCAACAGTCAAAGCTCATAAAGAAAAAGTCGTGGTAAGTCTTATGTATTTGGTATTAATTTGGAGATAATGTTTACCTTTTCTCAAACATGTATCTTTAATAGATAGATGGAAGAAGAAAGTCTATGATTATGCATAATTTATAAAGCAGATTATGTATATAACTTGAAAAAATCAGTCTGTAGAATCAGGTTGAACTGATAACTTGAGGATACTGCTGCCATGTCAAAACAGGAGAATGCTATATTAGCTATGGAACCAAATGATAATTTTTTTTAAAGCAAATAATGAACCTAATTTTGAGACACGGTAATTATATGAAAGATATATGGTTAAAAATGTTTTAAATATGAAGCTTTATGAAGGATATTAAATGTAGAATGTAGAGAAATCCAGAAATCTTTTAAGATCAGTAAGTGACCTATTTTGTCATGTTTAAATTGTTTCAAACAGCTGTGGCATAGGGTAGAAAAGAGCTACAAAAAGTAAGGGTATAAAAGCTCCAAGTCTGGTTGGCTTTCCAAGTGCAGTGTCTGTATTCCAGTTTTGCTGAGCATTTTCTCTGCTGGTAGAGGAGCCTGGCGTGGAGTGAGCAGTTTTATTGCTTAGTAAGGCAGTGGTGATTTTGCTTACACCCAGGCTTTCTGTTTGCAATTTAGTTTACACTGGGAATACTGCTGAAATCGTTTTGTTATTAAGAAATTGTTTGATAATGTTATAATTTTTACAACTGCAGAGCAGTAACTTGTGTGTTGAGATTTGCTTATAACTTTCAATTCTTAGTTAAAAAGTATTTACAAGGGAAGAAATATCTAAAGGAAGTGCTTTCCCTGAAATAGCATTCCTTGGGGTTATTAATCTGGAGAAGGATTTTGACATAAAGCAGGTAATGAATAAAGCATCACTCTGTTCTGTTACAGAGCTAGCATGTACTGTTAACTCCATCACTTGTGTCAGTGTTACCACAGCTCTCAAACTTTGTGTTCCATGCCTTCATGTACCATCGTTTTATACGTGCACTATCCATTTAAAAGCTAGTTACACAAAGAAAGTATTTGTAAGAATATCATCTTTCTAAGTTGTCAATGTAAAAGCCATAGAAGCAGCTGAAGATTTTTCCCTTTGTGTACTCTGCTGAAAGTAGTTCACAAACCAAAACAGAGTACTACTTAGTTACCATTTGTTGAATCTTTATCACATGAGCAGAAGACCTCATCACTATATTGGTACTAACCAACCGTAGTTTTGCTTCTCATAACTCTTCTCAGGATAAAGTTTGAAACAGAAAAGCTAGATATTTTTCTTTTTTGTCTACAGTGCTTAAAAGAGGGAGAAAAATAAATTGTTATCAAGGTGGCAGAAGCTTTTTTTTTTTTTAAAGCTAAAAATCCAATCATAAATTTCCTTATGTCATCATTTATGTTTATATATGATTCTTCACTCCATTTTGCTCAGTGCCACAAAACGTTCCTCTGCTTCATCGGATGCATAATTCCTCTTTGCTGCACTCTGGTTTTGCTCTCTGTTTTACTCTGTAAGCTGTCCTAGGCAGGGGCATGTCTTAGAGTCCCTGGCCTTAACCCAGTGTTCCAGAAGCTCAGACTGTTCCAGTAAGCTCTAAAACATTGGTTCATCCAGCTGGAACTGATTGCAAAAATAAGGCCAATACAGTAATGTAAATAACAGTGCCTTGCCAGAGGGCTTCTCATTGCAAAAGAGAGACGGGAGGGTTTGGTTGTATCTTACAGAGGCAGGGCTGTAGAGAGAGGTAGTATCTCCACCCCACCACCCCTGCCATTGAAAAAAGGAGGGCACAAGAACTCCTAAAGAGTTCCTTGCATACCTGACAGCTTTTGATTTTTGCTTTTACAAGTATATGAGTTATTTTCAAAAGATTCTCTCTCTACACAGCTACTATATCTTTTATCCTTGGGCTGTCACATTTGTAACACCACCACTGGAACACAGAAGGTGAAATACTAGTTTGCTAACCAAACTAAGTTAGCAAAAAAAGTTTTCACTGAAGGACTGTCAAATGTATTACAGCCATAGTGCCTCTGTAGAGGTGACAATTGTTGTTTAGGAAGCAGGAGTTCATAAGACAGCAGACAGCCTGATGGCTGTGCCAGGCAATGTGACACAACACTCTGACAGATCTTCTGTTCAGAAGAGGAAAATCAAATAAATTCTGCTGAAGCGACCATTACCTTAAGATGTATCAGGACAGAATAGGGGTGTCTTCAGCCAAATATATGCAATGCATAGCTTAATCTAAGGGACTGATTCCTGTGGAGTGAGCAGTTATAGAGCAAGCATATTACTTGTGAAGTACGCTTAGAGGGTATTTGTAACATACACTTAAATATGAGTTGTAGTCAGATTTCATCTGCTAAGTGCTATAAGCAAAAGATCAGACTCTGTTTTTCAGGTTATAATGGTATTCTAAGAGCCAGAGGACCTGCATTTTCTTTCATCAATATGTTATGACCATTCCTGCGTGAATGATACAATACCAGAGGGAATCCTTGTAAGCTGCTTATTTAAAAAGTGCATTTGTCAAGTACATTAGTTTAAGAAAGGTGATGCATGTGATGTGGTTTCTGTTTTGGTAGGCTTGTGCTCCCTTATATCATTGGAGGACTCTTAAAGACAGCCCAGAGAAGGACCCCGTTGGCACCTGCTATGTAGCAATTCAGAACTTCAGTGCCTATGCTGAATACTCACCTTGTCGCAACAGTAAGTATTAATAGAAATTAGCTTGTGCTGGAAGAATTGATGCTGAGCTCAGTGTTCTCTTGCTTTCAGTTTTGTTTGAATGGAAGTTATTGTATGTTATTATTGCATTGGATGAGGATTAAAAAGAAATCAGCGTTAAATTGTGTGATTGAAATTGGAGGCTTTATTGTATAATTGAAAGAGGAGAAATTAAGGAAATTAAGCTCATGCAGTTGTAGTGATGCAATGTAATTGGTTCAACTTAAATGGCTTTAAAATGTAGCAAACAGATCTAGATAAGAACCAGACAGCATTTTAAAACTATTACTCATGCTCATACTGAGTATAAATCTCTCATCACAGGATCACCATCAGAAGACCAGACCCCACACAGAAACACACAGGCCTCTATCACCATTCATACCAGTATCACCCGCAATAGTTCATTTATGAAGAACTTCCAGCATGGAAGAAATCTACACACATTGTCACTGCTGTTCACTCCTTTCCCTGTGCTATTCTGAGTATGACCCCCTCATTCCACTGTAGTAGTAATCTATGGGCCTTTCTTCTTGAGGAATAGGAAAAAATAATGCATGCATGTTTAGAATTAAGCTCTGTTACTTAGAAGTCTGCAGTAAAATCCACACATCAGATTAAATCAGTTGTTCATCCTTTTTGGCATTCTCTGTCTAGACAAAATATACTGATATTTTTTTTTTAATACTCTCACTACCTCAGTGCTCCAGATTATTAAAATCAATAAGAGGTATCTACAGACTTGTCTGGGCTAGGCATATGGCAGTTTCTGCACTCACAGATCAGAGAACTGTTTGTTCAGTAACATTTCTGAAGGTACTGTGTGCATGATATGATGGGCATGCCTATCCCTTCCTTGGGAAACCCCCAAAGCAGAGCTACAGTGCTGCTCACGTTAGTGAAGACAGGGTGCTCTTTCAAGTTGTGAGTGGTAGCCAATAGCAGAAGTCTGTACGTCATTTCTTATCATGATACCCATTGAACAGAGAGCCTGCTATTGCCGGGTGCACATGAACTGATTTCAAAATACACCTTATGACTGTTTCTCTACCTGAAATTGTGGTCCTAGTATCAATTCTTTTGTGTATTATTTGCCAAGAAAGTGCTAGGCATGTTACAGGAAAAGTAGATAAACAACTTCACGTAATTAAAAGATCTCTTTCCTGTGAAGATCTACATTCAGCATTCATATAATGTAGCTGGATTTTCCTGACACCCTGACAGATGCATGATAATGTCGCCCAGTAATGTTTTTTGTGGTCTACCAGAAGGCCTGCACACATAAATGAACTGAAGTAAAGCTCTAAGCTGAACTGTGCTGCCAAGTGTTTCTTTCATCTGCTAGTCCTTATCTCTGAATGGACAGATACAGAAAGTAGCTGAAGCTGTAAAAGAAATGCTGCCCACAAGATCTACTTCATGTATTTCTGATGTCTTACTGGACCTGTGCCAGAAGCTGATGCCATTTGGAGAGGAATTTCAAGTGGTCATTGGCATCAGTTTCCCATCCTGCAGACTTCCAGCACTCCAGTGCTCGTACGGAAGCTCTAAAATGGGTGTTAACACACTTTGTGCAATTATGAAAGAATTTAGACACAAAAGAGGACAGAAACGGGAAAGATGTTCTTGCGTGAACAAACATACATCTGGAATAATATTATGCTTAGGTCACAGGAGCAAAATTGTATAAATTACAAGGGTGAGCCTTTTGAAGAACAGGTGTACCTTTCCTTTGGTGTGGTACTGGTAATCGGGATGTTATTTAAATGTTGACCCAGGCTGAGCCATCATCCACCGTGTCAACATTTCTTGAGTACACCTTGAAAATTCTTATTTTTGTGTTTATGGAAGAGCAGGTTGTGGTGACCATTTTCTGTCTCCAGGGGGGAAAAAAAACCTTAAATTGAGTCCTTGGTAGTTGTAATAAGAGTCTTTTCTGGACAGTGAGAGGTTGAAGTCCCTAGTAGGTCCAAGTTTTCAAAACCTTTGTGAAGGGACTACATGTTCAATGTCCTGCAGAAGACCTTGGTTTGCTTTGCTTCTTTAAAACAAACAAACAAAAAAAACAACCTTCTTCTTTCTTTTCTCGTATTTTAGTAGTTTTGTTTTTGCAGCCATACACTTCTAGGGGTGTGTATGCTGTCTTCTGCATGCAGTATGAAATCAGTAAAATGCTTCTACTTTCATAACTGCAGGCAATGCAGATCCTGAAGGACAAGGCTTTTGTCAAGCAGGTTTCAGCTTAGATTTTTACAAGGTAAGATTGTGCCACTGAAATATCCTGACAAAATGCATTTCTAGTGTATCAACACACTGTCCTAGTAATCAAGAGTTTATGTTCATGCTGTTGCATATGGAAGACTTTACTGGAAGTTACTGCAAGTTTTACTGCTTTGTAAGATTCAAAGTTTCTGGTTTTAGAAAAGAGAAATAAAAGATGGAAAAAATATTACTATCAACACCTGTTCATCTGTTAACTGCACTCTAATTTGGCTCTCCTAAGTCTATGTTAATAGTCAACTAAGCCAAATATTGTATGTGATTCTGTCTCAGTGTTTCACACTTCCATTGCTTTCCAGAGGCCTGACTTTCAGGAAATAATGGGCAGGAACAACAGTCTTTTTTTGAAGCCAAACTGGATTATATAATGATGTTTTTGGAGCCAGACTAATGATTAAGACTGTTCTCCCATGGAGGTGGTAGAGGAAATGTGAAGTGAAATAGCTAGTTGTTCTTACATGCCAAGACAGTCCAATAAAAATATTGTGGACAAAGAGTATTGCAGCTATTGTTATTATCTGCATCAGGAGCCTACGTGTCTTTCACATCATTGGAGTTGCTTTCAGTGTTATGGAACAACATTGTTATTCACACTGTTAATATTCAAGTACTGAAGACCTCATTGTAGACTATACAGAGCTGCATTTCTCTGTAAAGCTGTTGCTTCAATTGAAGTGTGAAGGCTCTCTCTTATGCTGAATTTGTTTTAGTACAGATAATCAGAAATTTTTAGGATGCCTTGTTAGTACTGAAAACATACTGGCTTGATTTCAAATGAAGATATGCTGGGCGATGTTAACTTTATTTAATCATTGGTTTTCCTGATCATCCATGTACATACATCCTTTCCTTGACCAGGGCTGTTCTCTCTTGTCATTATTCTGAGATTCTTTTGATCTTTTATATTGTTTTTCCATGCATGCTTTATTTTGTGTTCTTTTGTTGTGTAATTTTATTCAATTATGCTTTTTGTAGAATGGAGACCTCATAGTAGGCGGGCCTGGTAGTTTTTATTGGCAAGGTATGTTCATCTGGCTGGTTAACTTGATCTAAGAAATGAAACATAAAGTACTGTGGAAAATGTGGTTCTTGATTTCCAGTATTTTCTCAATTTAAGATAACCAGTCTCTGGTCTATTTTCAATAAATATAAATCAGAGGAATTCTTTAATACACCACTGAGAGTAAAGAGAAGTCAGAGGAAATTCAGACTGTAGGCTCTATAGAGAGAAGTAGAAATAACAATGTTTATGTTGAATGTTTTAGTACATTTGCAGTTTAATAAGCCATTTTCCTACAAATACTCTTATTTTTAAAATAGCTGATAATTGCACAGTAAATTGATATTTTAAATGTTTTGTTTCTGAAGATAACCTTTTATTGCTATCTGCATATATTTTTAGTGTACTTATGGCATCACTGTAGCTTTCCAGATGTAACTTCTCATGTAGATGAAACCTGAAGTAACTCTGGAAAAGGAAAAAAAGGATATCTTTGCTTTAACTGTTTTTGATGTTTGCAACATAGCTGATTCCCAGACTCTGCCTACCAAATTCCCTCTTGTCAGCTTAATCTGTATGTGTTTTTTTTCATTGCCATTAAAAAAAGAAAGATCTAGTTGAGTATGATGGTAGGGAATGCATGGCTTTGAATTTTTTGTAAGAAATTACTTCCATTTGTCTATTATGTCTGTACCATGCAGCTTCAAAAGGTTGCTGTTCTGAAGAAGCTGTGGCTTAAAAAGTTTGACTTCGGTTTGATTCAGCACTGTGAAATGAAGCTGGAGTTGTTTATGTGATGGTTCAAAAGAGAATCAATGCCTTGTGTTGATTTATGTGTAGTCATGAGATTAATGGGAGAAGTAAGACTGAGAGAACATGTGCTATACTCTTGGTTTCTCTTGTGTTCTACTAGCTCTATTTTGTGGCTGTCCTTTGTGTCCCTTTCATTTATGAAGCTGTTTAAATCCAGGTCAGGTAATCACTGCAAGCATTGCGGATATCATCTCAAATTATTCCTTCAAGGATATTCTGAGGAAACTGGCACGAGAGAAGCAAACAGGAGTTGCACCACCCACATATGATGACAACTATATGGGTAAGCTAAGCTCTGTCTCAATTAGCACTGTGTCCTAAAAGCATGGGATTTATATAAATAAGAAAACAGTTGTGAATTTGAACACGTAATGTTCAAATACCATTGCACAGCAGCAATGCTAGTAGTTTGCTGGTTATTTCAGTGAGATGAAGTACACTCTTTAAGTTATGCATAACACATTTTGAAAGTTGAGATCTTAAATGTCTCACTAAGGTTTTTATTATTATAAAGAATGATTTGAATTTGAAGTTATTTCTTGCTTCAGTTGTAAATTTTAAATACCAGAAGTCTGAATTTATTATGTAGTAGTAGTAGTATGGAAAAAAAAAAAAAAGGGCTCTTTGTGTGCCTTTTACCTTCACAAAGAGTTTTCTTGGTTCACATATCTCTGCATGCTAGACAGATTGTTCCTCACATAATTATAGAGAAAGATGCAGTGGAATTAAAAGGCAAAGACACATCCTCTCATCTCTGCCCATATATTTGAAATTAGACACTGATACAATCCAAAAGCCTTTACTTGGTCAGTATCAATTATCATACTGATTTACTAAAACCTCAGGAGGTGCTTGACTGTATCTTTGGAAATCGGTCTTCCATGAGTACTAACAGGATACTCGCACTGTGGTGGGAATGCTGAGTCATGGTTTGAACCAGTGATTGAGCACCTGGTGGGAAGGCAGGGCCAACCGAGGGAAGGGAGCCCAGGTGTATGCAATGCATCTGAGTGACTGGAAGGGGTGCAGCCAGGATCCACCCCTTCACAAACCTCATTTAAAGGTCGGTAGTAGAAGCAAGAGTATTTTCCTGAAGATCCCTGTATACCTGAGGCCTTCCAAGGGTAGGCAGCTTTTGTCCTCTGTTTCTGTGTCCATGGCTACTGTATTTGGGCTTATCCTCACTTGCTGTAGCCTGGGACTTTGCTACCCTGCTATTATTTCTGTGCTTTCCATTGCCTTATAGCTGTACCCATGGTGAGCCAGCCCGATACTTGTTTAAGATGGATTATCTAAAAAAAAAAATAAAAAAAAAAAATAGTGCATTGGATGGTCACTGGGGCACCTAATACACTGAAAGAGGAACTCCTGGGGGAAACACTGAGATTCCTGGGTTCACCATGGCTGAGTGCTGCTTGGGTTATTGAAGAATGGAATAGTGGTCTATTATTAAATCCCCTTTGAAAATGGCTGATTTTTTTCAGTAAATTAGAACAAACTTTTTTGACAAATGAGTAAAGAGTAGTAGCACTATCTGCTGTAGCATGGCCTCTGCTACCAACCTTTAACGTAATCCTGCGTCTGAGAAAGGATTGAAAGACAAAAACAAGCTTTTAAAAGCCTGCATTAGGCAACTGGAAAATAAAATTACATCTCTGAAGGGGCAAACTGCCTTACCTTCAAATGGCATTTCCCCTCTGAAATTAAGATCCATATCCTTAGAAGGAGAAAAGGACTTCGATCAGAAGGATTCATCACTCCAGGCTGAATCTAAGAATGAAAAAAAACCAAGCAGACAAAAATCCAACTGGAGGATCTGGGAACCTCAGATCTTCTTGAAATAAGGCCAATAATAATTCAAAAAATGAAGACAGTCCAAGAGAGCCCAGCAGGGTTGTCACCTAAGGAGTGGCCCCCTGCTCACTCCACGCTACATTTAACGGTGCACCCATATGCAGCCACTGAACTCATGGATCTGTTTCAGTGGTTTAAGTAAAAGCTGTGAGAGGACATACCAGCTTTGCTCATGAGACTATGGGTTATGGGGTCCAAAAGTGTGGTAATTAATGGACCCCAAATTTCTAGACTTTCATCCATTTCCACACATCCGGCCCTCAGACTGTATGCAAATGTGATATGTAATGAAGAAAACCATTTGCTAATTCAAAGGATAATGACGGCATGCATAATCATGTGGCCAAACAGAAGTGATGTACTGATAAATACTGGTCTTCAGACTTCAATGGAAGAATGCCAAAATTGGGAATGAAGGAGGCAATTTATGATGATGTTTTTTAAGTCCAGACCTGATTAAGTTTTTGGCAGCGATGAGGGACCTCATATTACAACAATCTCCTACCATCAATATGGCACACTAGTGTCCACACTGAACACTTTGGTGGCCTCAGGGGCCGCTATTCAGCAAGCTGCCCACTTGGTGGCTGACCTAGAGGAGACAGTGCCTTCTGATCAGGTGCAGTATCTGGATGCTGAAAGGGACAGAGGTTCTCCCCATAACAAAAACTAGGAAACAGGCTCCATGAACTTCTCAATTGGCTCTCATATGGGTATCCCAGAAACAGATGTTTAATGACTTAATCTGGGCTGGGGTTCAATTTGCAAAAATTGGTCGCCAACCCAATTGTGTTCTCCTCCATCTATGGAGGCATCTGGGGGAAAATCAAAAGTTTCAGAATATCTCCAAAAAAGCAGAGGTAAGAATTATTGAAAAAGTACCCATGAGAAAGTGGAAAGTGGAAAATTTTCTAGTTTCCAACAAAAGGGAAAAGCTTCCTTAGGTGACTCAGGCCACTATGCCTGAGCCACCTGAGGAAAAAGAATTGGTGATTGCAGTTATTTGTGTGACGGGATGCCAGACACCCTGCACCCAGGGCCCCCAGATGAGACCAGAAGCCCTATTTCAAACTGACTATTTTTTGGTCTGGAAAGAAAATACAGAAAATAGAGTTATGGCATTAGTTGACACGGGTGCAGAAATGCCAATTATTTATGCTGATCTGATCAAATTCCAGGGCGTTGGAGTGACAACTGGTGGGTTTGAGGGACAGACCATAGCTGTAACCCAGACATGGTTGAAATTGAGGGTTAGGCATTTCCCTCCCTGCGAGTATAAGGTGTCTATTGCCCCAGTTCCGGAGTATATACTGGGCATAGGTGTGCAATGGGGTCTGTCTCTCCAGATGACCATAGGAGAGTTCAGACTGAGAGAGAGATGCGCTGGTATCCAGGCAGTGCAGATGATATGAAGAGAGGCTGTGTGAAACGTGAGTGTATTTACCTACCAGATCTGTGCTGGTTTACTAATATTAACAGTATAGACTCCTGGGAGGGTAAGAGGAAATCTCCAGAGTGGTGCAGGTTCTAGAAAAAGTAGAGTCATAATACATGCATCTAGCCCATACAATTCCTACATGTGCCCAGTATATAAGTTAGATGGCACGTGAAGATTGACAGTGGATTACAGATAGTTGAATAAGGTCATGCTGCCTGTTCATGCATCTGTACCCAATATTGCCTTCCTGAAGGACACATTGAGTAGGGAGACAGAAACCTACCATTGTGTTCTAGACTTGGCAAATGTTTTCTTCAGTATTCCCATTCATGAATAATTGCAAGACTAGTTTGTATTTGCGTGGGGACCTTTCAGGTCCTGCTGCAAGGGTACATGCATTCACCAACATATTGTCATAACTTAGTGGCACTTGACCTAGCTGATTGGAATAATCCTAATATCCAACTGGGCCACTATATTAATGATCACATGTTAATGTCTGACTTGCTGGAAACATTGGAAAAGACAATAGATTTCTTGACTACTCATTTACAAGAGAAAGGGTGGGCTATAAACCCCAGAAGGTGCAAGGACAAGACTTGGCAGTGAAATTCCTGGGTGTAGTTTGATCAGAAAGGACCCAAGTACTACCCAGTGCAATAATAGACAATATTCAGGCATTTCCAGTTCCTACCATGCCAAGGCAGCTGCAAGAATTTGGAGGTATGTTGGGATACTGACATTTCTTTATGCTTACACTTAGTGCAGCTGCTGAGGCCTTTATACCAGCACACAAAGAAAGACCAAAAATGGGAGTGGAGACCTGCTGTTATTGCTGTGCTTTCTGTCACATTACACACACATTGCAGCTGGAAAAATCTCAATTGCGTCAATAGCCGTTAGTGCAAACTCTAGTTACCTCCTGATTTTCGGGTAAACTATTAAGTATCACTGCTTTAACAGCTCATCGGGGGACAAGGAGGCTAGATCTTTTATTCCTTGAGAACTACAGTTAATTGAATCACGATAACATGGCAATTTTCCTCTTCTTCCCACACAGGTTTAGAAAGTGTACATTCTGATGAGCAGATGAGAAGAAAAATCTGTTTGTCTTTACATATTTTTGGAAATAAATGGTTTATTAAGTTTTTCACTTGTAATTTATTTTTAAACAGGATACTCAGTAGCTGCTGGGGAATTTACTGGAGATTCTGAAGAAGGTAAGAAGCCACGTACTTGAAAGAAAACCATATGGTTCTGCCTCTATTAAGTTCTTCTCTTTGGGTCTGTATGCAGGAACATACCTTTTATTCATCTGAAACACTGTGCCTAATATTCCTAGAGGCAGATATTCCTTTAGAAGGTGTGTGATGGCAGAGCAGAATTTAAGTAATCCAAAAATCTGAATCTGCTAGTGTCCATCTGCATCTATTCTGCAGAGCGGTGACAGCATCAGTAGGTGAAGCCAGCCAAGCTCACTGAATTTCACCAGTGTAGTGATGACTACTTAACAGTGAAACCAACAATAGAGTCCTGCACAGTTCTTGGTTCCACAGTCAAGCTGCATAGAGGATGCTTTACCTCAGCACCTGGGTGACCAGATGTGGGTTTAGAAACATCTGCGTATGTTGAAAGCACACTTCTGACTTCCACATAACCTCAACAGTTAAGTAGAGGAGATAGCATTCAGTAGCTCCTGGGCTGACTATACCAGCATGCTTGCTCTTGTTGGTGAGAGCAGCTCTTGGCTCTGTAAATGTTTCCCTAGTTGCAGTTCACGTGTTATACAGATAGGATGCCTGGGACAGCTCATTAGCTGACCCTTTTCATACAGAATGTTTTCCTCCACAAGCATAATAGATCAGGTTTCCTATGCTGCTGGTCCTCTCCTGAGCCTTGTATTTCACAATGAAAAATGAAAGAATTGAATTCCTGTTATTGAAATCTGAGTTTAGAGCCAGAGAACATTCTGCAGGAAGATTAGTGTTCAGTTGATCCTCTGGATAAGGAAGAGCTGAATGCACATGGATATGTGTCTGAAGAAGAATCACACCTGAGATGTTTTTAAAGATTCTGGGGCCAAGTAGGTTTGATGCAGGACAAAGCTAGTCAAAATTTGCAGTTAGCAGCTGTCATTCATGAGGAAACAGGCATATCACAGAGTTAGTAGCAGTGCTTAAAGATGTCATTACTGTTGAATCTGGTGTACGGGGGGAAAAAAATCACTCTATGGAACAGACAGATTCAAAGGGAATGTTTAACCAGAGATTTAGCTATTTTCAGAAATTGTACAGTATTTTGAAACAGTTGGGGAAAAAAAAAAAAAAAATCTGTGATCCTTGGTGTTTCTTACATTTAGAGCCATGTATTTCTTGTAATGCTTTCTGACTGATCATCAGCCTTATGTAAAGAGTAGCTTTCTTGAGGAGATAAGCAGCTCCTTGGTCCAAACTCACAAAGTCAATACAGGCTAAGTACATTTCTAAAAATGAAGCCAGCTCTCCAGTGCTGCTGCTGCTTACTTTCTATAAAGTTAGTTTCTTGTCCTGTGCCACTTTAGGATGGAAAAAAATAGACGCTATTTTGAGTCTGATGGTACAGTGTGGGGTAATTGCTGGCACAAAGAATTGCAGCATTGTCTGACCCTGTAGTCCTTTATTACTGTTTCCATCTCCCTTTGACCAAATGCTTATAACTGCAGGGGAGTATATGAACACAAAGAGAAATTGGTGAAGAGGAATTGGTCAGTTGTGGCAGATGTCTGAGATGCTCTGGTGTATGAAACTCCTGCTCTTCTGTTATGGATATATATATCCTAATGAGGGAAGGTTTTGTTTTATCTGTGGCTTTGCTCTTTATTTTGGTGGGTTTTTTTTTCTCCACTAATTGTTTAAACTTCGGCCTCTGTGCAGGATCACATCCCAGAGGGCAGCTTAGAACAAAGTTTCGTGTTCCAGTTCAATGAGTTCACAATGCCACTCACCAAAACTTGCTTGTAATGCTTTTAGATAGCTATTGTGTGCACAACTTATCAAATGCTCTTGTGGCACTCAGCCCAATAACAGATATGAGAAAATGTTAAGCAGCCAGAAGGAAAAGAAAAATTTGTAATGACGATTGTGTTTAGCTTTTGTATGATGGTGTATGATGCCACAGCTAATTCTGGTTTGTTCAATCCACAGCTGTCAGGTAGCAAGCTGAATTGTAGGAGCGGCTGAACTGTAGGAACAGCTTTGTTGTGCTGTACTGTGCTGAACAGCGCTCAGGAGAAAAAGACCTTTGTCTAGGCATGGATGAGTGTATTCAACGGTTCATTGTAATATTTCAAGCAACTAGATGCACTGAATGAATGTTAAAATCTCATGAATCTCTCTCAGGTCTTGAAGTGACGTGCAGGTGTTTCTGATACAGATAACAAGCCAAAATCCTAAAGATTATGTATAAAGAAAGATTTAAGTGGTCTAGAATGCATGTTGCATGTGCTACTCAGACAGCCTAACCAGTTCACTGCTGATCATTTGTATTTCAGAGCTGGTTGCTGGAGTCCCAAGGGGTGCACAGAACTTTGGCTACGTATGTACTGGACCCACATTTTATCCTTTTTCATAGTGAAAATAACATTAGACTCCTCAGAAGCTTAAAGACTACATTGTTTTCTGTCTCTTAGAGCCTAAACTTTCTAATCAGAGAAAAGTGCCTCTGACTTTCACTCCCAGGCTTACCTGGCTGGGTTGACCTGCCTTACTGGCCTGGGCTTTAAATATTGAGCTCTTGCTCAGCTATGAAGTCTATTTTCAATACCCAGTTACTGGCACTTTTCAAGTATGAGTAGTATCCCAGTTCTCACTGAGTGCTATCAGACCTTGGCCTAAGCTATCCCACAGACTGGAGCATTTCATGTATGTTCTTTCTAAGTATATCTACTGAATTCCTACTGCAAAGAGTGGTGATATACAGTTAGAAAGGAAGTGAAGGGAGATGTGTGGATACACACCTATTTCCTCCTAGGGGAAAAAAAAAAAAAATCCAAGTTTCAGGTCTAACTTGATTAGGTAGCAGCCACAGACACATTCTCTAGTCTTGTGACCCCAAAATCATTTTGTTTGGAACTTATTTAAACCATTTGTTCAGAGACAATTTGTGTGTGTACACATATGTACGTGTGTGTATGTATATATTCTATGTATATTATATACATTGACATATATAAAAAATGTATATTTAGAATGTATATTTTCATGCTTAATAATGTAATCATTGATTAGCTGATAGTCTATGATTTGCTGCTGTTCACAATATGTGGTAAGGATGGAAAATATTTTTTCCCTCATTTTCTTCACAGAAGGCTTGAGACTCATAAAATTTAGTGATGTATGCAAGATGAGGAAAACTGTGGTGCAACAGAAAATAGTTGATGTATTTTTTTTATCTCCTTGAACCATCCTTCAGTGTCTCAAATTGTGATGTTATGCTGTATCATATCTCTTTGTGCTTGAAACTTTTCATATCTTTCTTCTGTTAATAGGTCTCAATCATTAATTCTTCAGATTTGACCTTTATCCAGAATTTCACCGGTGAACAGGTAATGCCAAATAACTATGTGATGAAGTATTATATATCAAGAGGATATAATTTCATCAATTTAATTTCAAGACTATGTAAAAAATATGTCTTTTAAAACTAGTAACCACTGAAACAAAAGAGGTTTGTCAGTAAGACTTTTTAAAGATGATATGTTATATGAAGCCTATCTGTTTTTTATTTCCAGATGGCGTCTTATTTTGGGTACACTGTTGCAGTATCTGATGTTAACAATGATGGGTAGGTTACCAGATATATTCAGCTCCACTGAACGTTCACAGAATCAATGCCTGATATTTATTAATAAACACAGGTTTTCAGATGCTTCATACCTTCTCTTGACTTCTTTCTTTTCTGCTTGTTTGCATAGGTTTATCTTTGTGCACTTACAGTGGCACAGCGGTTTGCTAGGTTGGGCGAGTTTATCTTCCTGAATACGTATTAAATGCAGTACAGTAGAGCAGATCTCAGAAAACATCCAGATAGAGGTACAGTGAATAAAAAAATGCAAGCTGCTGATGGTAGATGCAATTTCATTCTTCTGTTCTTAGAAGCAATTAAGTCTTTTCACATGCAGATCATTCCAAGCCTCACTTCTCAGTTTTAAGAGTTTTTCGGTATCGCTCATTTCAGCACCTGCTGGTTCACTAGTCAAAGCTTTCCAGGTTTCTGACATTAGATTTTGTCATGTTATCTTAGCTTTCCAAAATTCCTGTTTTTCTGATACAAAAAATTGGGGTTTGTTTGATCTCACTGAAAGGCATTATTGACATGAAAAAGTGGAGGAATAGCAATCTTAGTTACAATCAGCATGCCTTGGACTGTTAGGCATCTTATTAGTTAACTTCTCACTGAACCACATTATTTCCCATGCGGGTTATTTCCTGTGAATCATAGGGTTACTTTGCAGGTTTCATATTTTCTGTGTGAAACTCTAAGACCACAATTTATGTGAATAATGCAGTCAAATTGCTGTTGAGGCCTGTGTGGTCTCCCAGCCTGTCTTTGAAAACAAACAAACAAAAAAAACCTGACTCCCTCTGAGATCTAAACATTGCACAGAAAACAAAGCACCAGAAGCAATATGTGATAAGTATTTCTGATTATATATGTAGTCCACTGTTGCCAATTTGTGCATATACTCAATAAAAAATTTTATCTGAAAGCGAGAGTAAAGTGGGAGGGGAAATAAAAAAAAAAAAAAAGCAAGTAGGAAATTGTTACTCCAAGTTGTGTGTGTATGTGTGCATATGAAGATGAAGGAGGTTGAGACAGCTTTACCAGTAGCAAAAGCCTCATCAAGTCTTACGTTGAAAAGATTAATGAGGATGATATTTTGTTGTAATGAGGCTGATGACACGGCCCTTAGATTAAGCTCATCCTAGGAAACCGTGTTATCAACCTTCTCTAGCAGTTCTGCAAGTGTTCCTGGATGTCTCTTGCATTTATATCTGTGCTGCATTAGGGCTGTAAGCAGAACAGGGAAACTGAGGGCATTGTTTGGAATACCCTTTAGTTACCCAATAATAATGAGAAATTTACTATGAAGCTTAGCAAATCAAGCTGTGCTATCAACTTGCGGACTGCATTCCTAGTAAAGAGGAAAAAAACACTCTCAATTTGGACCAAAACAGTCCAATAAAATGTGGAATAAGTTGTTTACTAGTCTTTTATTTGGCCTATATCAAAGCTTTCCATAGTAACGCTTTGACCTCTTGACGATTCCCATACTCCTGCTTTTTGTTACACAGCAGGATACAAAGAATCCACATATAGTCCTAGCTTGTAGTCAGCTTGTGCTTTTTAAAGTGTTTTTTCTGTGCTGGTTGGTTGGTTGAGGTTTTGTTTGCTTGCTTGTTCTTTTAGAAGAAAGTTGGCTAGTTACCTTTCTGGCATGCTGGCATGAAGATAAATATACCAATTGATGTTAGCAGCAACATCGTAGTTAGTGTGGTGATGAAATGAATGTAAAGATGGGGTTCAAAATACCTCTGCACTCTGAACTGCACTTTATGATTTAATATTACTGTCTATGGGCAGTAATACAAAATTGTCGGAGGGAGAATTCCTACTTGCAGCCTTGTAGAGAAGTTATTGAAGCAGCTTTTCTTGCCCTGCTGAGTTTGGACTCAGAGAGAGAAGAGAGAAAGCTAGAGAGTGAGAGGTGTAAGGCTTTGGTATGGATGGGACACGTAAAGAGCTGGAGCAAAGGTAAACTAAGTGCTCTGGTTGCTTTGGGTAGTTCTGCTGCCAAAAGCAGTTTGGAGGTAGGTCACTGTACGTGTGCCTAGCTCCCATCCTTCCCTCTCGTAACTTAGTTAATCTTAGCTGCTGAGTTCTGGTCCAGTCCCCTGCACCACTCATGTATTTTATACAATCATTTTAATTTCTTCTAAAAAAATAGAAATTTTCCTAGAAAAATAACACAGGACCATGCACTTTGATCTTTGATGCTAAAATCCTTATGTATGGACTCTAGCTCTGGTCTGTTTGCTTTCCATCTCAGCAGGTATTTACGTATTGTATTTAAGGCTAGGAATTTTTGTCCATACTGGGTAGTAGATAGTCTCTCTGCCTCTCTCTCCACTTTATTCACTGTAGGTATTGCTGTGCAGCCCAGAATTTCAGCATGTCTACTTGTTTTGCACTGATGTAGTGGCAGCTCTGAATCTTTTGGTTCCCTATCACTTCTAAAAGTCTTACCTTATCCTCGCAATCCTTCATTTGTAGAAAGCCAATTGGAGCCAAGCTTATCTTTTACCTCTTGGTTTCTACAGCGTGTAATACCATGGGGTCTCAATCTCAGTGGAAACATCTGCACTGTGGTGTCATAAAATAATAGATTACAGTACTACTGTGCAATGCTTTTAGTGCATGCTGTACATAAAATAACTTGTGGGGGAAAAAAAAAAAAAGAGCATTCATGATCTAAAATAACTTGTGAAAAAAGAACACTTTCTGTTGTTGCTGTTGTTTCGTGGCAACAGCTTTAGCTGATGTGCTGTCCAGACTCTTACATCTTCCATTAGTAGAAGGCTTTTGATGTTTAATGTAGCAGGAAAACCCCACCTCTGATGTTAAGTCAGCATCTGCTTCCTTTTTTAAAAAAAAAAAAAAATTAATTATCCTTACCATGGGGTAATATTTGACCTATAAAGAAGAACTGTGTGAAAATGACCTAACATTCTGAGTTACAGTTTCCTTTATGGAAATCTACTATAAAGCTTTATAGAAAAATAATATTTTGAGAAGTACTTTGTCAAAATTTCTGGAATGTGTAAGTCCTACAGTATGATTAAAAGGTGCGTAAATGGCATATTTTCTACTAAATTTTATGGTATACATCTTAGAACCACAGTATATATCTGTGTTAAAGAAATACCTGAGCTACTCATGAAATATATACTTTATTTTCCTATCAGGCTTAGGAAAAATAATGTAGAGCATTTTTCAATAATTGGTTTATTCATGTCTCAGAATATGTCACTACTGAGAATATGATTAATTAAGAACATAAAGTTTTCCATGACTTTATAAAGTTAGAACAGAATTTCATGTTAAAGCAAGAGAATGTATTCTCTAAATTTAAAATTCTGGGATCAATTGGTACAAGTTCTTTGCAACAGCAGAGTTCCTTGATATGGGTGACCACTGTCATGAATATAATGGTAATTTTCCCTTTAGCATACATGGGCTTGAGCAATCTTCAGAAAGACATCTGATGCTGTTGTTTCGTATCTCAAAATGTATTTATTTGTTACATATCTGTCAATCTTGTTTGATTTTGTTCTTTATTGTCCAGTAAAGGGTCTCTTTTCTGCCAAATAAATGTTGGTAGCATATTTCAAAACAGGCAATGTATCCTTTGATGAGTCTATCTTATTTCAGTAATACTTCTTGGTGTGGCAAAACAGATAAAAGAACCTTTCCCTCTGAGCTTCATACTAATGTGGCTTTATGGACATGGTTAGTGGGCGTGGTGGAGTAGGGTTAATGATTGGGCTAGGTGATCTCAGGGGTCTTTCCAATCATTAATGGCTCTATGGTTCTATCTTTTCTCTTTATTACTTTATACTGCAAATTACACAAGCTCTTCAGCTACTCATTTACCTAATATTCAACAGAACAGCTTTTAGAAAAGAAGCTTTAGCTTTGTCTTCCAGCTTACACTTGAATTAGTGATGAGGAATTCTCTGTGAATTGATGTTCAACCTGTTTCATATATGTAACTTCAAAAAATCTGGCAGAAAGTAGATATTTTTGTTCTTTTGCTCACTTACTGATGTATAGTGTTAGAAGAAATCTGGATTTTATACTGAACTTTGTCTCTCAGCACAGTTAGCGGTATAATTCTACAGAATTTGTTCTACTAATACAGCTCACCTCTGAGTTGAATTTCTGACTTCTGGATTATTAATTGTAAAATATAGCACTTCAGTGTCTTGTGAGCATGAATTGAAGTACAATAAGTTCTGTTTTAAAGCTAAGAGGAAATGTTTTCACTGTGAGGGTGCCCAGAGAGGTTATAGAATCTTCATACCTAGAGATACTGAGAACTGGAGTAGCTATAACCTTGGTAACCTCATCTGCTGACCATGCCTTGACCAAATGCTTGTACTAGAACACCAGAAGTGTCTTCCTATCTCAGCCAGTCTATGACTCTGTGATAATTCTCTGCTTCATGTTAATTTGTGAACTTTTTTGATTATGCTCTCAGTGACACTGATTTTTATTTAACTGTTCCAGTTTAGATGATATCTTAGTTGGGGCCCCTCTGTTTATGGAACGAGAATTTGAGAGCAAGCCTAAAGAAGTTGGGCAAGTCTATCTGTACCTGCAGGAAACTGCTTTCCTCTTCCGAGATCCGCAAATTCTGACAGGCACTGAAGTGTTCGGCAGATTTGGCAGTGCAATCACTCACCTTGGAGATCTCAATCAGGATGGATATAATGGTAATTTTTATATTAAGCGATAATATACATCTTTTCTTTGTAATTATGTCCTTTTTTTCTTAATTTCATCTCAATTTCTCATCCATCCTACTGGTGAGGAGTGAGTAAACTTCTGCATGGGGTTTAGCTGCCTGCTGAATTAAACCACAACACTGTGTATCATTGACATTAGAAATGGCTAGGCAGCGAACGTGCCTTAAGAAGACTTTTTTACTTGTAACTTCTCTTCAAAATCAAGAGAATTCACACTAGCCCTAATAAAACTGATACTCAGAGCCAAATAATTACAAGCTTATCTATAGAAGTGCATTCGTATTTGCTACACTGCTATCTTTATCTGACTATTAAAGTTTGAATAAAAATGCTATCTGTTGTTTTATAATTAGATTTAAATAATTAAGATTTTGCATTTGTTTAAAAGCAGAGTTCTCTTTCTTTCCTCAAATGTTTGGATGAATTGAAAGAGGTTTAGTAATTGGAGCAGCTTAGCTGCAATAAAAGAATTGGACAAATACACGCATACTATTTTGGAATCAGACTTCCACTTGTAATCAAGCTCTGAAAGAAACAGCTTCTCAGAGGGGTTTTTCTCAAATGGCAATATCACATAAATTCAGTAGAAAATACTCGTGAAGTAAACTAGGAGACTAAGTTTAGGAAAACAGTCAAAGTAAGCTTGCTTAATTGTGTGAGAGAGCTTGGATGTCCTGAGCAGATTGAGTTAGTCTTTCACACGTGGTCAGTAACGCTCTCATCTTACTTACATAGATTTCTTTTCTTCCTGTTTCCAGGTTGTTAGAGATCTGCAATTCAGATATCTCTGCATCTAAAACCCCAGGAAGTTTTTGCTGGATAAGTTATTTTGAACAGCAGTCTTAAAGATAGTTTGACCACTCAGGAAAAAAAAAAACGAACGTGAACTTAGCTCCTCTTTAACTTGAGGGCTCTTTTTCAGCAGCAGTAGACTCTAGAACAGTGTGGACAATTTGTGACTCTTGTGCAAGGGATGTGTCATCTCAAGAGCCATCAGATTTTATTAGGATTCAGGGTACACAAAACCAGAATCCCTCCTGTGGGAAGAAGTTGCTGAGCTGTGGCTCGTGAGAGAGACTACCCTCACAAGATTGTCCTGGAGTCCCACCATAGGATTCAGCTGGGAAGATTTCCCATTTTCTACCTGTGAGCAATAGTAGATGCCGTCAACTCCTCTGAGCAGGGAAGACTGGTCTCCTTGGCATGCTAGTAGTGGAAGGAGGGTATGATTCTGTTTTTCTCTCTCGCTGTATGAAGAATTCTAGGAAGAATCTAGAGTCAAAGTCTTCTACTTCACAACTAAAGATACAAGTTCTAGGGCTTTGTTGCACTACTGCTGTTATCATGACGGTAGGAGTTCCAGGTGCTGAAATCAAGTTTAATAGATGAATCCAGCATCAGCTCCTGGATGAGATCCTAAAAATTACAGCTGTAGATATGTATCCTCATCTTGTTTCCTATTGGCTAGTTCAGCTAGTTCAGTTGCTGAACCTCAATCTGTGATTCTCTCTGCTTCCTGTGTATTAGAACTGTGAAGAGCAATTGAGTTCTACTTTTTGGATATGCAGTGCTCAGTTGCAGTGCCCAAGGCCTCCTGCTGAATTCTTGACTCAGTACTACTCCCATTTCTCAATAGCATGTTGTCTTAGTATAGAAAAATTATCATATTCTATTTTTCTGTTTTGTGTACGAAAGAGAGAGTTTGAGAGGGTAGTTTTTTGTTGTCTATATTGTCTATCTTATTGGGAAAATAAATTTTTATAAGAGCTTTTCCTTATCGATTATATAATAGAGGAAGTCAGGAAATTTTTTTTATGTTTAAATGAAAATAAATAGAAACAAAGTTATTAGATGTTGGTTTATTAAAGCTTATCAAATTCCTCAGAGATAGGGTAGAGGAATTCAGTGTTGATTGCTAATTTATTTGTAATGTAATAACCTCTTCATAGGATCATTCTGTAAGCATTCATCATGAAATTTTGACACGAGATTATGAACGTTTTTAAATATTTGCCTTAAAAGTAGAATTCGTAGATAAGTACAGAAAGTGATAGTTCTTCAGCATCCATAGAAGCCATTTATGTCTGTTTTCCTTTAGGGACTTAATTCTTGCTTATTTTAATTAAGCCTATTCTTTTATTCTTTTACTGCACTACAGACATTGCCATTGGTGCACCATTTGCAGGTGAAGACAGAAGAGGTAAAGTGCTCATTTACAATGGATACAGTAATGGGTTAAAAACTCACCCTTCCCAGGTTCTTAATGGAGCCTGGGCCTCACAGTCCATGCCTTCAGGATTTGGCTTCACTCTAAGAGGAGACTCAGATGTAGACAAGAATGATTACCCAGGTAAGATTTTTCCATTAGAAGGGGAATTTCATATTTCTGTTCTCTGGAAAATGCATCATACCTAAACTGCTCCTTTTGGAAGGCAGAGGTCAAGTTTAAGAATAGATGTATTTTTAGACAGTTCTAGTTTGCTTTCCAGAGAGTTAAAGTCAGACAAAACAAGTACTCCCTTTTCTCTCGAAAGACATGGTCAGAAATCAGAAAAGGATTCAAATAGTTACATTAACATAAAACATGTGAAGTTTACAATAAAAAGCTTAACCCTTTCCCCCACTTTCAAAAACTGAATGCTCTCAGTTTATTGAACTTGTGATGTGTCCTCCATCCTGGCATTCTTTCTTGATTCAAAACATGTGTTGTAGAACAAGTGATTGCCTTGGTTATGTTACTGGGTTGTTGTTTTTTGCTGTCTGAAGAGATGCTAGGCTGTACATGGGTTCTTAATGGCTTTGATCTAATTGCAAAAAAACAAGAATGTAATGATACTGCTTTAAGGCAGATATTTTGTTTGGGCCTCTCTATGCTCGTTTGTTTGTTTTCATTCTGCTATACTGACTCTTCCTTTTCATATTATCTTTGATTCTTCCTTATTAGCTTACCTGACATGCATTCAAATTTGTCAGTTTGATGGCATCAGCTGCGTTTTGCTAGGCAAGAGGTGTTATTTCTTAAGAGCACTATTCCTAGCATCACAAGTAGAGTGGATGTTGAAGATATTTACTTTCACTGTCTCCTCTGGAAGCAAATTTATTTCTTTACATTATAATTCAGAAGCCTAGCAAGAGTGCAATAAAACATACTTTGTCATTGTGAAATGTCTGCATCTACAGTGGAATGCTATGTCTTTATTACCCAACTCACTGAGAAATCACTTTTGTTAGTTTGGGTTGTTTCAAGGCTAATGTTCTTAAAAGCTGTGCTGTTTATGAAGGGAAAATTGTGATTTTCAAAGAAACAGAACAGCCTTTTGCCTTTTCGTGATAATTGTAAAAAACTTGAAAGAGGTTTTTTTCAAAAGAGAGAAGAAAATTGCTGGAAAGGGAGGTCTACAACAGCAATTACAGTCTTACCAAACAGAAAAGCTGGCTGCAAAGTAATAAAGTGAGGCTATCACAAGATTGAAGAGAGAGGACCTTTAAGCATTTGACAAAAGAAAGGGCTTTTAAACATTGTTCTGACTTTTTGTTTATATGTTGTTGATGGTGCTATTAAGAGGCTTTCACTGTCCATGACTAACGAGGCTCTTTTGGACAGAGAGTTCTTTATTAAAGTTTCAGCATTTAAACATTTTCTAAAGCCACACACAAGGCCCCCAGCAAAACCAAAGAAAACAGGATATTGCATTCCTGACATTTCTAAGATTGGGAAGATAGAGAGAATGAAAGGAAAGATTCTTTCAGGTCACACTGGGATCCAAGAAGTCTACCTAGTGTAAAAATCACAATTTGTGGGGCACCTTTTAAGCTAATTAATGAAAAGTTTGGGTGATGGGCCTCACTCTTTTAAAATTTACACGAAGGAACTGGCATACTTAGTTCAGTTGTGCGATTTAGTGGATTTTTCCTTCTTGTCATCATTGGCTGAGCCATGCATCCTGCTATTTCACATTATGGTATTAGCTTACTATGTGTTAGATGGTTTGGGTTTATTACACATATTGTTTGTTTTAGAAAAAAATCTGCATTGGTTGTAACTAGCTTTTCTCTCTGTTTCTCATCTGAGAAGCTGGATGGGCGGTCCAGAGCACTGGTGAGAGTCTCTCAGAAAACAACACCTAAATAAAAAACCTTACTGTTAGTTGACCACTTCTTCCTTAAATCACAGATTTGAAGCACCAAAATAGAGCTGTATAAACAGCAGAACTGTGGCACAGTATTAGCACAAGAATAGAATACTTTCCTGTGGGTAAAAGAAAGAAAGAAAGGAAATCATATGGGGAAATGCAAGTCCAGGACAAACATGCTAGGCAGTGAAGCAAGTAATCCTTCTTATGTCAGAGAGCTTTTCTTCTCCTCCTCCTGGCGGAAGTCCTAAGGGCAGCCCTTGTACAAAGAGGAAAAAAGGGACAGAACTTCGAAGGAATAGGAAGGAAGTTTTATTTTAGGTGTCAGCTGAGAGTCAGAGCAATTGCTGACTCTGGAAAGTCTAGAAAACTAGCTTATAATTCAGTGTTTCCCAAACTAATGACCATGGCTGTGATTCAAGGAGGGTTGTGAAAGATCAGAAAAAGACCTTTTTTTTTTCTTTTTTTTTCTTTTTTTTTTTTTTTTTTTTCATTTAGGCTTTTTAATGACTATATTGTAAAGCTAACCGTTTTATAGAAAGAAAAAAGTAATAAAACTTCACTCTCAGAAGTTCATTACTCTGGAGACTGGGAAATGAGAGCCAGCTGTAATGTCTGGCTGCTGGCATAATCATGTATTGCCACAGCCTAAGGTGAGAGTCTCCCAGCAATTCTCTTCCATGGCTGAGGCCAAAGTGTCGTATGAAGACCAGCTCAAAAAGGCTTGCAAGCAATTCAGGATTTCAGGCACCAGTTTGTGAGGACTTGTAACTATAGCTGTGCTTGTACAATTTTCTCAAGCCCTTTTACCTAACATTGCAAGGCAGGCACATCCCTACTAAGAAATGAGGGGCTGAGAGATGGGTAATGCTCTGCTAGATGGTGCAGTTAGAGAAGGAATTACAAGTTGGGGAATATTGTTTCTGAAAAGTGAGGATGAATCAAGTCTTTTTTTTCTCTTGCACAGAGATTAAATCTAGTTTTTGCTAGAGGTTCAGGTCAGACAGAGATCTACCTATTTGCTTTCTGGGAAAGAGCAGCCCATCTCATTTGATACAGGAATTTATATCTTTTGCTCCTTATCCAAATGCCTGTATAAACTCAGGAGCAAAGAAGAAGAAAAAGTTTATGAAAGCTGCCTAATACTCAGGGAAGTTCAAATTCTCCAGCTTTTCTGTGAATGGATGTGTGGTTTCTCCTTCCTCCTTTTTCTGTAGCTCCTGGCCAGCACAGGGTGAGAGACCAACCAGCTCCTGGTCTTACCTAGGAAAGGCAGAGGAAGACCCCCTTGATCCCCAGGACCTCTAGAGTAAAGAGAGTGAACTGGGAAGTTGCATAACAAATATGAGAGAAGACTAATCAGGAACCTACTGGTACAGATCTGTATTGCAGATCTGTCTGGCACTGTAGCCTGTCTCCTGCAGTGGCCAACAGCTAGGATATCCAGGAAATTGTAAAGTTGTTGTGATATTTCCCGAATATTCACCCAGCTCTAACCATCTGGAGAAGCAAGGTGTCCAAGTCTGAAGTTCTGTCCTTGCATTTAGCCCTTTACAGACTTTTCTATCAAGAAATTGACTACCCAGGGTAATTGCAGCCTGTGGCAAGGGGCCATGCAGACTAACCATGTGTTTTGTGAAGAAGTAATTGCTTTCACTGCATTGCATTCAAGTCGAACATTGCCCTTGAGAGTTTCTTAGGATGTGCAGCAGTTTTTGTGCTGTAGAGGCAGTGAGCAATTCTCCTGTACCCCACTTGTTTTACAGACCACTGTCATATTCCTTCCCTCAACTATGTCTTTTTAATCCTGAGAAGGAACCTTAAATTACTTATTTGTTCCTTTTGCAGTGGCAAATGGCCCTCCAGTCCTGCTGTACTAGTGGATGGTTCAGTCTTGCCAATACTGCTGCCTTTTTTTCCATGCATTTTTAAATAAGAGCAACTAATAGCAGTGTTTAAAGTGCAACTTGTCTCTGGCCTGATGCATTGTTTCTGATAAAGATTTTATCATTGATTTGGTTTTCCAACTTTGCTAAGATCAAAAAAGCTTTATTTTTTCTATCAAGAAGAAATTGAAATTATTACTTGAAAAAAATATTTTCAATTTTTTTCCATTGATATCAATAATGGTGTGTACGCAAGAAAATAAAGTGAGCCAAAATCTGATGTCCGGCTGTGAAGCTGCACGGCACAGCTCAGTTCACCATGACCTGATGAAACCCTGCTGCCCCTGAAATAAGGTGGCCATATTCAGACTGCCTTTTCAGAAGGATCCTTGACCCAGGTTATTCCCCAGGCCATCCCTGACCACTGCCCTGGATTGTACGAATTTGTGGGCAGTTCCTCACCTAGAAGAAGAATTCCAGTACCAGACAATGGTAATGATGACAATGAATGGATGGATGCTCCTCTTTTTGTTTTCATGTAAGAATTAGGCAAATGTTACAGTCAATTAATATAACTAGAGTATTTATCCATTCCTTCCTGTCATGCTTTTAACATCTGTGGGGGGACTTTCATTTGCCCTTTAGATTCCTTTATTCTTTTTCCATTTTTGATTGCATGTTGCATCTAATAAGGTGGTGCTCTGAGACACAGTGCTGTACTTCCAGGTGAAGAGACGAAATGTGAATTCAGTAGGTATATTGTTTTGTTGAACAGCAGTTCTTCAAGCTTTGCCCAGGCTCTTCTGCAGTCCTGTCCTAAGCTCACCCTTCTTGACTGTCCTCTATGCTAGAGCATTTGAACAGCTTAATGATAACTTTCTCCACAGCTTCTACTCCCTTTCCAGCTAAATCTGGGACTTTTAGGGCCTTTTTGCTCCATTCTGAGCGTTGCTTGTGTCATCAAGGCTTGGAGCAGGGACTGAGGTCTTAGCTTAGGCTTTTGTTTTCTGGTTAATTTTACTTATCATTTCATCTATCTTTTTCTAATAGCATAGCTCAATCTTGAAAGGAGCAAAATAAACCCGTAAATTTGTTTAATGGGAAAGAAATTTGTTTCTTTTTCCTTCTGGGCTTCAGTTCAGAACTGGTCCCGCTGAGCACTTGGATCCGTAATTATCTAGGTGCTGGTGCTGTGCTTCCAGCTGGTTCATCTATCTCTGCAGGGCTCAGCTTTTGGAGGCTGTAAGGTTTCCACCCTCATATTTCAGCTCAGTCATTTGGTGGCTGATTATAGCTAAGTAAATCATTTATAATGAGAAACTTACTCAACT